AAAAAAAAAAGAAAAAAAAAAAAAGAAAACAGGTACATCAAATTTAGTTTTGTTCTCTAAAAAATATATTCCAAACCACCAACAATCCCAAACCTTTTAGGTATATTATAATACTTTAACCAGGGATACAACCAAAAAAGACAATTTTTTGTTTGTCTTATGTCTCGTCCTGTACTTCATAGATTGTTTTTAAATTGTTTAAATTATCTTTATTTCTAGGTGCCAAAACAATGTACGAGCTTTGCTCTTTTTTGATCATCCTTCCATTTTGTTTATAATCATACTTAAATCACTCTATGGACTGATTACCCTCTCCTCATCCCCACCCATCAGAGGTTGCTTGCAAACACTGTACTGTACATCTTCAACTGAATTTTTAAAAACATGTTTTATATATTTTGTTATGTTATGTGTCCTTGTGTCCTTTTATAGAAATAATTATTTTGAAAAAAAAAGAAGAAACAACCTATAACTTACTTAATTCTTTGTAGAAAGGCTGGTCTGTTTTCAATTTCATCAGGAAGTTTAGACAAGATGTGTTTCAAATTGTGTGCCTGCTCATTGAGTTTAATGAACTCTGGTTCTGGACGCATAATCATGTACTCTGCAAAAGATATTATTGTACAATGTGTTTAAACACTAATTCATCTTTTATTGTCTACTTATGAACTTCTTGATAAGCCCTCAGCTCTACTACCAAATCCAAAGACACTTTCTCAAGAAAGGCACTGATAGAGCCCAGCCTTGAAGTCCAGCCAATTACTTGCTTGTTTCTGATGGTTAATTCTTAATACAGTCATGATATTTTAAGTTTATATAAAAGTTGTACTGTACGTTTTTTTGAGATGTGAAATAATCACATGCTTCACACAGGAATTATAAGCAACTCCTCAATTACCTTCACTATCATAAGCTGCCAGCCGTAGAAGGCATTCAGTTAAGTTCACATTAGCTGACTTTGCCTTCAGTATGCCATTCACAAGATCCTGCGTAAAGCCTGGATGTTTCTTTTCCACTTTGTTTAATGCTGCCCTCAATGTTTGGGCAGCAGCAAGGTCAGTTTTTTGTAACTACAATGAAAAATTGTAATTTAGTTACTGATGATGAAATAATAACACTTATGATGATGATGATGATGATTATTATGAAGATGATGATATAATCATAATTGGAAGCAATCAATTATTCAAACACTTAACCAAATACTAAAGGTGTATAGATGTAGAGTAGCAGAGATGCTATATGTCATCAATTCAAAACAAAAAAAAATAAATAAAATGATAATTTAAATATAATAATAATAATATTTTATTTAATGTTTTTTGTCAGCATTTTCCCCTTAGTTTGGACCTCAAGTCTGTGGAACCTGTCCTTTGGCATCTGTTTTTTTTTTTGTTACAATACATTGGATAAAGAAAAATTTTACTACTTTTCTTGGTGAAGTTTGTTAATATATTTACAAAGTTGTTGAAGATTGTCTACTGTGGTGAAGCATTATTCTGTTTACAAATTGGTTTTTATATTTGGCTTATTATAAACTTTTCATGGTTTATTGGATTTTGAAAAATAGGTAAACTTTGCTCACCTCATCTAAAACTGGAAATACAACAACGTGTAAAGGAAGAGAGACCACTGATGACCCATCCTCTTCCTCCATTGTCATTCTGTAGGAATTAAATCTCCACAGTTTTCTGGTTTATATACATGTATTCTTGCGTATAAACTCTTTACACAGGCCTAACCCAAAAATCCTGAAAACTGAAATTAAAGACAGAATACGACAGTGTTCTCTTGAAGCTAGGAAAAAGTCATTTTACTGTGACAGGACCCTAGGATTGGAAGGCAAGTATCTTCATCATCATCTTATAACGTGCATAAACCTTGTATGAGTACATTCACACATCGTATTACAACTAAGCTAATCAACTCCAGTCCCAAGGTCTTGTTTCAATTTTGTCATGGTAACAGGATGTTTTTCTTATGACCAAAAATGGCACTAATGTACTTTAGTACTTAACCACTCTACCTTAACCTTAACTTAAAGATAGCGAGACTTGAGTAATGGTTAAGGCGCAGTACTGAAAAAAAAGTACACATCACCTCACTATGAGGCTTAGTTCATGTAAAGCATTTTGTGTGTATGTTTTTCTTGTGGAAGGATTGTAACTTTGATCAGTGATTAAGTTCACTGTTCGGCATATTATCCTTGGCCTTGTGCATAAAACTGAAAAAAAATAAATATAGTTGTGTCCTGCTGTCCCACCAAACCCCTAAATTGTCCCACTTTTTGATAAATTTTTGAATATGAATATAATTGGTGATTTAAAAAGAAAACAAAACACACATCTGTCTATTGCCGGTTTTGCCTTAAGCAATGAAGATGTATCAAAATTAGTGGGGAAAAAAACAACAGAATAAAACCATTTGTTTTCTCTGAAAAAATGTGATGTGAGATTTGCTCCTAAAATTTTAGTATTCATGAGAAAATTGTGCACAGCAAAGCGTATCCAAAATTTCTTTGCATTTTTACTTTTTCTGCAGAAACTGCTGTTGCATCAGGTGAGATTCGGAGGTAACAATCAGCATTGCTCATTTAGTGATTGGTAAAATTAGAATGTATGACTGACTGAATATCAGTGGCGTATCTAGAAGTCTTGAAGGTGAAGTGGGGGACTCGATGATCAGTTGAGGGGCGCTAATTTGCAAAATATGGTGATTTTAGTTGATTTAACTACTGTACTTGACTGTGATTTTTTGGGGGGCTGGGGGGCTTGATTATTTTTTTGGGGAAGAGATATGCCACTGCTGACTATATAGGCTCAGTTTTGGTTTATTGTGGTCAAGCGGTACATATTATTGTACATGTAACAATGCCATGGTAATATTATGGCATTGGACTTTTTTGTTGTTGGGACTTCCCCTCCCCCCCCCCCCCCCCCCCCCCTTTTTAAAAAATCC